AGCTTAGGGTTATAAATAAACTTTATTTTTAATTGGAAGCTACCAAAGAGAGTACAAAAAGATAAACGAATTGGCAATTGATTAGAAACGTTCAAGAATATTAGCAAGTTCAAAACGTTCAAACGCCCTTTCATAATACAGCTCAAGATTAGTCGCAAATAACGATTTCTTTTCAACGAAACCCTGTCGCATGATTCGATGATGTAATCAAGTTAGCGAAAATTCTTATCTACGCGGAATTTTCCTATATTCTTTGATTACACCCTCCAATAAGTCTATTTCAATCATACTTGTTCAATTGCAACTGGCGATTCATCAATTTTTTTCCATTCCAACGTGATAAGAATCGTTGCACAGAGATAGAGAATACTTGGTTTTTCCAATAGTTTATAATAGATAGACTTTATAAGCAAGTAATCGTCGTTCCCATAGGACCACTTTTACCAAGATCCAATTAACTTAATCAACGACTAAACGTTGCCAATAGCAAAATGTTAACTACATTTTCGCCTTAATGTAAGTTTTGATCATTTAAATCTACCTCTAAACATTCTTATATAGAATATTTAAATAATTTATACGAGATCTTATTACTCCTCGTGGAAAATGTAGTTACAGTTTTGCTATTGGCAACAGTTTAATAGTTGATTAAAGTTAATCAGAGCTTGCAAAATGTGGTCTCTGATATTACTGATAATGACTCTTCTGCTTCCCACTGTGGAAAATTACGAATGTTTCGTACTGATTTCTACGAATTCTAGACACTATCAAACTGTAATTCGGATTAGATTAACGAAAAAAATTACGAATAATGAATTATTGGATTTACGCTTTTACAATTACCGGGAGCGTCTAAGAATGATTCACTTGACAGTAGCGCGATTAAGGACGAAATAGATAAGCGCACTCAAGTGCGATGACGATTTACTCTAATCTAGAGTGTTGTGCAAACGCGATATTTATGTGGAATACAGGTATATCGTTATTTATCTGATATTTGCGAGAACTGCGATTTATTGCGTTGCCATAACACAAAAGATTCATGTATGTACGTAGTTACGCTTTGTATAAACAGAAATCATCACTTCCAGCGAGTCTTTATCTGTTAAAAAAATTTCGGTTAAAAGGAAGCGGATGAAACCCGTGATACCACGACTCGCGATGATTAATAGAAACGAGATGGCAAAATTATTTACTGTTTGCATTCCATATTCTTAATCTTGAAGCGAAAGCTACTTTAACGTCTTTCTTTAAAAAGCAATTAAAAAGTTCGATGCGAAAATATAAAGTTTTATTTCATCATACTTACAAGCATTGTTATAGAAAATAGCGATGGATGAAAGTAATTGGACTTCGTTCCGCGATTATTTAATCTCGATAAGTATAAACGATTGTAAAAGCTTTGCGATACTGTAATTATTGTTAGAAGAATCATTAATTACAAGAGTTAGTCGTAGCCGATAATATGTGGGTAATTATTCGCACCTGTTCAATAATAGTAATCAGACATTTCAATAATTATTACCCTCGACGTTTCTACAATTCACATCTATGGTTATGTAATTCAAGTTAAGTCTATTCCATTACTTTTACAATAGAAACATCAGAATTCTAAATGAGATAAATAAGAATTTTCATTCATGTCTCTTTCTCTAAATGAAAATTAATTTATCTCACTTCTCCTTCAACTTTGCAAGTGATTTTGTACAGAGTTTCCATCAAAGTAAAAATGTTATGTAAATTTAGATGAATATTTATTTTTATTTACACGGAATGTGTAGGTATAGTTAGAGAGCATCCAACATTTTAATAAATGATGAGTATTCGGTTCTACTGAGGGCTGTGCAGAACTCATTAAAGGAACTGCAACATGAATTTGCATTTCTTTTATCCTCGCTTTATAATAAAGATCGTGAAAATGCAAGAGCATTGAAGAAATGAGGCATAGATTTGTTATTATCTTTCAAGCTTTATACATATATGACAGACGATATGTATGTGGGACTAAAATTCAATGCGTTAGGCGCTCAATGTATAATAAAATAACGTTTATCAGTTTATTTTCTTAATTGTAACACTTTTGGATCATTTTGTCTGAGAAATTATTTTCGCTAATAGAATTGTTGATACTCGACGACAATATTTATAGATGATATGATGTAACGAGGTATTTTCCGCATAGAAATCAGAAATTCTTTGTGATTATTTTTATTTCCTGGTTCAGGTGGTGCACGCGATCCTGTGGTATAAGACCGATTACGTAAAATCGTTGCATCGCATTACATTCGAATGCAGTTTGTATTTGACAACTTGAAACTCGGGCTTGTCTCTTTCAGCTCGAAGCATGATACGATATTTTTAACGATACTATAACATACTTTGTTAATAGTCAAACTGATTGCGAAAATTTGCTATTATTAACGATCGTTACTTTGTACTTTTGATTTGATTATGTTAACTACTGAAGGAAAAACCCGAAATTATTAACTGCCTCGTTTCCATCTTTACTCAGCTCTTTCATAATACATGAACGTAACGATGTTAGTTTTCTAAGCCTTCAATTTGACATTGGATGTGCTTGGAGAAACTGAATTCGCTTGTTCTATTTAACATTGAATGTCTGACGCCGTTAACGATGGCGTGATTATTTATTTAGAGTAATTGTCGATGTAAAAAATTGTAAGAAATTTTTGCCATTTTGGAGGATATCTACACGATCTCACCAATTCCATTTTCATTTATCGTAGTCATTATCTACTCCCACTGAATCTGGATTTCACAGTTTCACTTGATGAGATCAACTTAAACGATTTAAACTTGAATTCGACGTGATGTAACGCGATTAGCCACTTTGAATTCCGTCCAATTTTTCCTAATTCACGGTCGTTCTATCCTCTACTGAATATTTCATCGAATGGTCAAATTGAACAGTGATTTCGAGTCATTTCAATTGCTTCAACGAAGAGATCTGCATATCTGCGGATGTGTCGAAAATCGTTAAGTCATTATCTCTTGAAATTGATAATAGTGCTCGCGGAAACGATTCCCAACTTTTCGATACTAGAATCGCACGTTTCAGAGAACAAGTTATTGTTGTGGATTCGATGACGTGATTCGTTCATAAGCAATTTGGAAAATCTACTTACAAATCTATAAATGTGTTGCTGAAAGAGTAAATGTATTTTCGTTCACTGCGGCTTTGTAACTATGAACTCCTTCCTTTATCACCTCGTTTCCTCGTCCTCGCTTGTCACGGGACGCGTAAACGCGACGTTATTTAACTAAAAATACTGCCGGATGAACTTTTACTAACCATGTCTGGATCAGAGTGGGGTATTTTTAATTGACGGACTACTGTTTCATTAAATGTCAAACATCTCCGAGTTTGGACAAAATAATCAAACAATTTTTACTGATGCTATACACCTTTGATGAGGTCATCTCTATGCCAAACAGTTGCAAGAAGTCAGATATCATCATTAGACCATTTGTACTATATTATATAATTGTGCTTAATCATTCATATCATTATGATCAATCATGTCATTATTTTATCGAATTGATCAATGCAAATTTTTGATGGGGACTTATGATCTTGATTTAAATAAAAGCAGAGCGTGCGGTTAGTTAAAGGTGCATCGTTTTTGCATATCAGTCCGGACAACTACGCATTCCTCTTCAATAAATAATTGACAGCTGCTACTATCAGTACTCGTTAATTATGTAATGTATCAATGAAATGGCAAGTATGAGAGAAGAGGCGTGTCTTAAGCGAAAATAGACTAGGGAACGTATCGGAGGGAGACAGAGCAACGAGGATCCGTATGTGAGACAATGATAAGCAATTTCAGCCTCGAAATGGAAAAATTCTTCGATTACGTTTTATCTTGTCGAATAAACCTTTGTCCGTAAGATTTGTTTTTTTTTCGTCCGGTTTATCAACAGCGCCGGCAAATTATTCCACAACTGTTCCGTTTACGGGAAGTTAATCTCTAATTTGTTGCGTTGTATTTTTTTATCTTTTCGCACGATTTCTTTTTCGGTCTTCATCTATTCAGAGTATTCATTGCTCTCAATACCGCCGATTGTTGCTATTGCGTGTGGGCGATCATTATAGGAAAATGTGACCAACAACGACGCGACGTAAGATCTACTCGCGGACGCGAACTAATTATGGTTCTATCGGCGCACGCAGAAAATGTGTACTTGGCTCGTTATCAAATGTCATTTATTTTCGATCGCACATGCATCAATTAGAAACCGGGTTGATGGTCAGCCGTATGTCCACGTAAACGACGAAGAAGTTAAAGACATGGTCCTTTTGTCTCGTTTCAGCGAACCTATGCGTTGTTGGAACTGGTGCTATGCTAGGATGGACCAGTCCGATCGGAACTTCATTAATGAGTAATGGAACAGACAGCGGTAGTCCCCTCAGCGGACCGATCACCGTTGACGAAAACTCATGGATTGGATCATTAGTTGCCATCGGAGCGATGCTTGGTAGCTTCATAGCTGGAGATTTGGCGGAAAGGTACTTTAAAATCGAATTAAATTTCTCTGCTACGATTAATACAACTTGTAAACGATATTAAACTTCGATTGATTCATAAGCGTCATTTGATTAAAAATTCTAATATTCGTTATTTCGATTATGTATCCAATTATTTAATATCATCTTGTTTAATCGTTTTCAAACAGATTTGGTAGAAAGATCACATTGCTTTCCTCGGTGGTCCCGTTCATGATTGGCTGGGCCTTAATCGCGACCGCGGGACACGTTGAACAATTGTACGCGGCCCGATTTGTCCTCGGTATCGCACTGGCGTTCACGTTCACAGCTGTTCCTATGTACTGCGGAGAGATCGCTGAGGTAAGACCCATTTTCCTTTACTCTTCATAATAGACCCTCTATCGTAGAAAGTGTCTTAGAGTAATAAACATTCGATTTTTGATTGCCATTGAATACAGACGTCTGTCAGAGGAGCTCTGGGATCCTTCCTGCAGCTGTTCATTAGTTTCGGTTTGCTTTACTCGTACTCGATCGGCCCATATGTGTCCTACACTATATTCTGGATTCTCTGCGCCGCCGTGCCCATCGTCTTCGTCGTGTGTTTCATCTTCATGCCCGAATCGCCGTACTATCTTATGAAAGTCGGCAAACGCGACGCAGCGATCAGTGCTTTGGCCAAGTTACGAAGCAAGTCCACTGCCGGTGTGGAAAAGGAAGCGGATGAAATGGAGGTAATTATGAATTTGTAATCGAAACGCAGTCGGCTACCCGTAGAAACTGTTGAATACCAAATGCCAGTATGAAACGCGTCTCTTGGCTGCCGGACGCTATTTCCAGTCGGTCATGGTTATATCCGTACGGCACCAAGACCGGAATAATTCTCGGTCTAATCGGTTTAGAGCCAGTGAAGGAGGCCAGTCAGGTCAGGCGTATCGTGTCGGTCGCGTTGTTGCTCAAAAGAGAGAACTTGGTTTGTCAAAGGCATATAGCTGGTCCTCGTAAAGAGCAGTAAGTGCGCGGGCTGTCAAGTCATGCGAAACGAGATTGGACGAGGCCGCGAGATCGTTACTCGATATAGAAACGGCGAAGACGTGCTCTGGGTCAAATGAAAACGATCAATGGTATACGTCGAACGCTATAATGTTTCGATCTACTCGTTAACGCGACTATTAATATTCAAACGTGGGGAACAGAGAAAGAAAATAAGTTACGTGATTTTAATATCTATAATTTACAAAACGACAGAAATAAAGACTGATAAATCGTGACCGCCCGTAACAGGAATATTACCAAAAATCGGTGTAGATATGCAGTACACGATAAGAAGTGTCAGCGTTTGTAGTGTTCGTGAGCAGCGTAATATGGTATCAGAGTTCGGGTCACGTTCGTCGGACGAGGCCGGGGGTAAGGTCGTTTCTTGATCCGCCAATGGTAGCGGCATTCCTCCAACGTGCCTCTGTACGTTGTTGAATCGTATGGTCGGGTGACTAACCCGTCACGTGTTCCCGGCATCTCGAGTATCACGCGTACGCTCGATCTTCCGGTTTATTAGTTTATTACTTACATCACATACGCAATTATTTACTGCGGCGATCGTGATTTCGTTGTTTTATAATTCCCCTCGAATCTTTTTCTCTTACTTTATATAGATATGACCCGCGGTTATTTATATAAGTAGAAGTAATTATAAATGTGGGTAAACTTCGTAATTACTTCTGTACTCCGATAATCAGGACTTCATATCTAATCTTTTTTTAACAATTACAATCAGATTATGTGAGAAAAAAATATAAAAAAAGGATACCCTAAAACGAAGTTAAACTCAGATTTTTATTTTATCATTCAATCAGAATTATTCGCTAAATTCATGCAGTCGGTATAATTTTTGGTTTGAAAATTTTATTTTCACAATTTTTGTGACTATTCTAATGTTTTAGGATAACATTATTATTATTTTCTTATCTAGGCTGCTATCCAGGAAGCATTCAAAGAAGAGGCGAAGCTGTCAGATTTGTTCACTGTTAAAGCGAACTTCAAAGCTCTGATCTTTACGTGCTTGATGGCTAGTTTCCAACAACTGAGCGGTATTAACGTGGTTCTTTTCTACATGGGCACTATCTTCGAAAGTGCTAAGTCTTCGCTGCCCAGTGCCGTTTCTACCATAATCGTGGGCGCTGTACAGTTGGCGGCTTCTGGTGTCACTCCGATTGTCGTCGACAGGCTTGGCAGAAAAATGCTGCTCATCTTCTCGGGTGTCGGTGAAATTGTCTCCCTGGTAAGTCAGCTAATCACTTATTGCAATACTAAAATTATTTAAATTGATCAAATTCTAAAAATTATTTATACATATAAATAGAAATATTTTATCTACCACTTGAATCACTTTTTATTATGGGGGACGTGCCTCAATTATAAAAATAGAACAGTGGCAGTGATTTCTAGTACATTAACTTACCAACTTCGCTCATTATGTATTCATTATTGAATGCTCGAATTATTCGCAAATTGCTCTTTTCGCGTCTTTACGATTTCCTGTAGCATAAGTTTGATCGTATTTACGCGCGATTTCTCGATAAAAAAACGAGAAACGCGTTTGGCTAAAAATATGGCAATGAAAATATCGTTTCGCGTGACACAAAATACTGTCATCTTGTACTCTCTCCAAACCCTGTTTATTATCGACATTCGACGAGGCGCGTGGTGTGTGACGTCTACGATCCTCGTTACATCTCTGTTACTCAGACTTAAACGCAACAACAAGATTGCTCACGATTCCTGCAAAGTCACGTCTCTTCTCTGACGTCGCAACTGTTTCGTAAGGACACCTCTTACGCTTGGAAGCGTCAGTTAATGACGGAAAAATATTCCCGCCACCGTCAGAGCGAGCGAAAACTTCATTTATTGTCACTCGAATCTCTGCTACTATATTAACAACATACCTATCCCGTTACGTTTTTCATTTTTAAAGCATTTGGCTTGACTTCCAGTTTCGATTGACCGTATAACGTTCGTGTTTGTTGACCCATTACCCAATCGGGTTACGTGACGCGCGATGTTTGAGGTATTTCGTACATAAACCGCGGATGTTTATGTATTTGTAACAAATTTAAATCCATAAAAAGCAAAGACTTATCGATTAGCGAGAACGTGTCTACATGTTATTTACAGTATAGCTCTAATGTCCAAGTCAACAAAGCGATGATTCGAATTCGGCTGACCATTCATTAATTCCACGCGCGCCTGTTCGTGCGACTAATGTTCCAGTTCCTCGAGGCTGCAATTCACTGTTCATTTCAATTACGATCTCGATTTTTCATGTTGCTGTCTGAGCGCGTGATCGGTGCGAACGCCCGTTTATGAATGAATGATCACTTGTTTAAAAGTCTACAGAACTTAATTGATTATTTAAAGTGGCGCTAAATGTATCGATATCGCGAAACACTATTCACCGCTCGCGTAATCCTCATTATCCCTTCCCACGACAACTTCGATTGTTTTAATCGGGGATTCCATACATTCATTCATAAAATGCATAAACAATGCGATTGTGCTTATCTACGTATTAGATATTCCTATTGTAATCATGAATAAGTTAATCATTTTCTTTGAGAAGAAAGTTTTACAGTTTGATGGCTCGTAGAATTTCAAAATTGACCGGGCGTGCTCGTCACGACCTTGATCCACTGTTCGCTTTATTACAAAATAGCGGGAACAAATCAATCGCGGCCTTGCGACCGTCTATTCAAATCGATTTATGTAACCTCGCAACATGTGTATATATGCATATGTATGTGCATACCTGTCTTGATGCGCGTTGCATTCCACAAGCTGCACTCGAGGCCATTCGCACCCGACCCTTGAATCTCGTTTTTTCCTCCGCGGTCATGTTTTCCTGCTGTCATCGTTTTTCCTGCTGCGATTATCTACTTTCATTAATTCAATCATTCAATTCGTTGTTTTTAGAATACAGGATTAATAAGACATTTTTATACAACACGATAGTCTGTCGTGGATCAATTAACTCATTTAGTGAATAATATATAATAATCATTTTTTAAGTTAATAATCGTTCTCGTTGCTGTTTCGAAACGTTGTTAATAAACTATTGAATATACGAAGTTACGTAAAGTTTTGTAAGTCGCCACAACGTTAACTTATTGTCAACCGAAGAGTTTAGCTTTTTAAGAACTGACAGCAAGAAATAAACCACCGTCGAGTGAACCGCATTATCATAATTACGACGCAAAAAACTGTCATGTTTATCGTTTTCTTAAAGTAACACCCACGGTGCGTGTTTGGATGAAAATTTGCCGTGTAAATACAACAGGAAACGCGCTGTTTCGATGACTTCATGTATCTGGAATGATGGGATCGGTTGGTTGATTATACTCGTAAGATTGTTGCACCGATCCGCGGCAGTTATCAATGTCAATGCCTCGTTACGTGCACGCGTGCATTATGCACTCGGAAAAGTCGATCACGAACCCAGACGGTGTTATTTAAATTTCACAATAATGCTATTCGCCGAAGGGAAACAGGATAAGGATGAGAAAAAAAATGAATCTATTACTATCAGCGAAGAATTTACAGAATGCAGTTAATTACTCGTGGCGCAAACTTTATAACTTATCGATTAATTGCAACGATCGCGATTAAACTTTTTCGCAATTATTTTTGCCGCATCTTTGATAAACGATCGACGATTATGAAACACTGGTATTGTACCTATTGTTACCATTCAACACAATAAATTCAATAGGAATGATTATGTTTACTATCGATAACTAGAAGATTGAATTATGTACCACCTGTTGGAGTAAATATGGCTGTTTCTAACATGTCACTTCAACTCCGTATGTTCAAATATATCTTTAAGTAATATTTATCTTTGTAAGGAAAACGAATGCAAAAGTGATAACGCATAGTTGAAACGAAGTACATAATATATTCAAGTGGTTGTGAGACTTCAGTTTATTTCAAACTCGTTTCCTCTTTGGAAAAATGCCTTCGATTTAACGTTCCGTCTTTTCTGTTTACAGACCGCGTTGGGAATTTACTTCTATCTCCAGAAATATGACGCAGCATCCGTCGAGAGCATTTCGTTCCTTCCGGTCGTATCGCTGATCATCTTCATCGCGACGTATTGCGTCGGTTGGGGCCCGTTGCCGTGGACCGTGATGGGTGAGATGTTCTCGTCGACCGTGAAATCGAAAGCGTCCGGCATCACCGTGTGCGTGTGCTGGTTCCTCGCGTTCATAATGACCAAGTTCGCTAGCACTCTTCAGAACGCGTTCGGTGCTTACACGCTGTACTGGTTATGCGCCGTGTTCTGTCTGATCAGCGTATTGTTTACGATATTCATCCTGCCCGAGACGAAGGGAAAGAGCCTGCAGGAGATTCAGGACGAGCTGAACGGTTTCAGTTCGGAAGTACCAGAGTTCAACGGATCCGGAAGTAAAAAATGAAGAATCGAATAAGAAAACAGTATTACGTATCGAACCCGAGGACAACGATTGCCGCGGTGATTGTCAATCAGTTTTCTGAAGGTTCTCGAGTGCCAAGATCACTACATATCCGTCAAACATGTACACATGCACACATACACACACACACGCGCGCGCGCGCGCATACACACACACGTAATATTCTTCCCAACTTTTACGTAAAAAAAACTTGCGTCTTCAATACTGCCAAAGACCGCGAATCGCGATTCGAGATTGAATCCGTGAATCGCCACCGCGGCACGCGATGAGCGGACACTATTTCTCTCTATATCTGTTTTTATTTAGATCGTTAGGATCATAGCAGTGGGTTGAATCGACAATGATCACGAATTTAAGATTTTGCATCTACGCTAAGGTGCATGACACGTGAGATCAATACAATGACGCAACATTTTTATCGTAAGCAGAAGACGATGGAGGAAATAGAATGGATTTAAACTTTTCTTATCAGATTCCATATATCCCATAATTTCAAAATCTCTGCAGGACTATAATCATCATTGTATTTTCCAATATTTTAATCCTAGATAGAAGATAAATAAAATAAATATTTCAATCACAATCAGACGGATTTGAAATAAATAGTATAGTAAAAATCTAATTTCTACTCATGTCTATACTTGATGACTTGAAATCCATTCTGTTTCTTACTACAGCCATGCAATAATAGTTTTTGAAGATATTTATTTCCTGACAAGCTTTAGCCGTTCGACGTACGCGTCACTTCCTACACGCGTAATTGGTTTAAAGCGATCCTCCTTAATACCAAGTATAATAATAATATTTAACAATATAATTTAACACTGTATATTAGATATATATATACATATATACATGCATATTATACGTATATGTGCATATATATATATATATTTATATAAAAGCATATTATAAGTATATGTGCATCGAGGACGATAGAACAATCGCACACACTGTGTAGATTTCAGTTGATCGATCATCGATCATGAAACAATCGCGAATGATCATGAACGCAAAAAGCGAGCGATTCATTGCCACGGAAATTCCGCGGACGTACACAATCGATCTTTATCTAATTAATAAGATGTTCGTGCCAGACGTGATGAAAGGGAAAAAACAGGAACGACGCAGTTGCAAATTCAGGCATCGTACTGTGTCGCGAGATTCTTGCGATCGAGACGCAAGAATTAGATTAGAGGAACGATTTTTAAGGGACTAACTCCTTAGGTTAATTAGTGTAGCACATTCCTATTTTACACGAGGCTGTACTGTTGTGTGGATATTCGTTCCTTGTTGTAAGTGAATTTATGTACGAAACTTGTTAAAATAATTTATATTCGTTCCTCCGATTTGCAACACTTTAACGTTTCTATTAAAGACTAAGTAATTTTTACAAGAATTGTTCTTTTTCTTTCAATTTCTGAGAATAAGAAACCAAGCGCGACAGGTTGCTTGATATTACAGTATCCCACAATTAGTGAGAACAAAGAAAACGGTGTGTTCTATTGTATGTAGACGAGGATCGTCAACGCGTGTTATCTCTCGCTGTACACACATTTCTTTCCTTCCTCTGTATAACTTAGAGATTATTCATTCTAGTATTTGTTCTATCTTTAAAAATGCTTTTCTACTTCCGACCATTCCGACAATAAGTACTTCAGTTCTCAAACGATCACATGTTTCTTAAGCATAATGTCCGTTAGCGCGTCTTCCATCGAAGTATTGTTTTTAATTGATTCAGTAATGATCGTACTTATTTTCGACAGACTCACCAGAAACTGGCATTTGATTTAACAAGTTTTAGCACACTTGAGTGCATCAGCGACGAGCACGCAAACAATCTTTCCTCTTTTTAATTAATATCAATTTCAATTTCGATTAACAGTTGTATTTCGTTTGCATTTACGCGTCGATCACTATACACGATGTGCCAAACCGAATGTCTTACGGTAGAATAAATCGTGCTATTTAAATCGTATTTTAGTAGATAAACGTGTAACGAGTATGACATATCATCGAGAGACGAAATAAATCAAAATCTTATTGTACGCGCACAAAAGATTAGAGGAGCGAAAAAATCGTGTAATTTTTCGAACGCAATTTGCTATATGAGAAGAAAGTTACTTGAGCAACCGAGGTCGCTCAGACATTTATTGTTAAGGTGTGTGAAGTAAAAATGCAGAAAAAAGAATGAGAACAAAATGTATACGCTGGTCGTGTATTATACAATCAATTATTATAGCGATGCGTGATTGGATGTACATTGACTGAGATGAAAAGACGAACGGATTTAATCAAGGTCGGCGCAAGCCTTGATATAGTGAAATAATATATCGTCTGCGGTGAACTTGCTCTTTTCTTTATCCGTTCGCGTGAATCTGTACGAAACGATTAACTTCCATTCTTCTCTGAGTTCATGCGAACGTGAAACGAGACGTTTTATCGAATCATTCCTCGTTTTTTAATGTTCCTCTTCTTCAAAGAGCAATAAGACTTTGAATATGATTAAGACAAGATTTGTACACGCGTAAGAGATAAGCAAGACGTATTAAGAATCGCGATTCGAGAATTCGAATTACCCGGTGCATGAAATTTCCACTTTGAATCGGAGAAGCGTCCACGGAACGAGTAGTATCATCTCTTTTTCGTTCCTGTTTCATGGAAATTGAAATGTTCGTAGAAAAAAGAAATGGTATCGAGTAGACACGCATTGTTTGAGAAGTCTTGTACGCTACGCATAATTTAATGATTTTTCACGCGATGAATTTTTAAAATAGAGAATGACGATGACGGCGACGTTGATGAACGTTCATTGTGGTTTTTATTTCGTTTTTCGTAAACTACGACAAAGTGTGATAACGTTTTAAATGTAAGCAGGGTACTAAAACGAAAATCATGTTCGGTAACTTCCAATCGACTATATTTTAAATTAAATATATTATTGTATGTAATAGTATGTGTATGTATAATTATAATTATATACACATATATATATTATATTTTTCACGTGGACCGTTATCCGACGCGACTGTACATATATATATATATATATTGATACGCACTACTTGCATAGTGTAATTATGATAATTTTGTTACAGTTAAATAAATTATACATTTCAAGTATTAGAAAAATATCATATGCATTTTTTTTCTTTACCTATCTTCGATCAAAACCTTCATGTCCTGTTTAAGTATGTAATTTATACTTCAGTAGTACAAGTTCGTGTAAGGTACGACTACTGTCGTGCAACAAAAGTTCGCTATACTTTAAGGATGTATTGGCTATACAGTCAATCCTAAAAGTTTATGTACCTTAGAAA